CCCCCCCCCCCCCCCCCGGTGAGTTAAAAAGGTTTACTTTATTTTTTCACAGAGAGTAGGCATATATAGTCACATTGCTAAAAAACAGTATAGCTTAGAGTAGAAATTCAAATACAATAATGTTACAAAGAAAAGCCTTGCACAATTTCAGTTTACATCTGATGCTTTTTTTTAATGATAAGACATCCAAAATCACTATTTTTCAATCTGGGAAATTAAATAAAGCTTAAAATAATTTGTTTTAGAGTTTTGTACCATAAATCCCCTGGGCCAAGGCCTCATAGCTAGAATTTCAGCAGAAGAGATTTAAAAGGGCAAGGGGTTATGAAAACACCAACACAACCTTCACAAGCAGGACACAAATCATACTGCTATAAGAGTTCAGAGATACACTGCACATTTCTTTGCTTCTAGATCTAGATCAGCGGTTCCCAAACTCTGACCGATTGTGCACCACCAATTTAAAACCATACAACCTTAAGTACCACCAGCAAATTTTTGTCACAGGAAGTAATTATAATAGATCTGTTAACACCTACTGCTGACAGCTGGTCTGTGTACCACTGGTGGGACACATACCACAGATTGGGAACTGCTGATCTAGACTACATCTTCCTCGGGCATATCAGAGGAGAGCTTAATTAGACCATAATTAATTTAGGAGCATGTTCTGTGGCAGCACTTATCATCTCCACTCAGCCCTTTGAACAACTTTCGTGATAACACCTTCAGCTAAGAGTTTCCCAACTCTTTCCATTATAAGATGCTGTTTTCAGCTGCTCACAACTTTGCCAAAATCAAACTGTTTGGATGGAAATGTTCTACATTAGGTGGCTAACTCAGAATATTTTTTGTAGGTAAAATAATTCAGGCATTTGCAAGAACAATGTTAAGGAAAAATACATGGAGCTGTAGAGTGTGGGGAGGAAAGGGGGAGGCCTAGGAGCCAGGAAGAGAATAAGGCAGGAGGAAACAAGGAGAACTATTTTGGAGGGTCTGTAACCAGTAGGCCCGCTCTGCTGAGAACTTTTGAATTTAACCCTTTTTTTATCTGAGGCATTGGGCGGGGGACGAGGGGGTAACAAGGGCGCACGAGGGGCAGATGCCAGGGGCAGGCATGGGGAGGTGGGTTACAAGCAGCACAGGAGGCATATGGTGGGGGCAGCAGATGGCAGGGGGCAAAGGTCTGGCTGTTTGACTCCCCTGCCTGCCTACCACCTGCCCCCTCGATTGCCTCCCCCACTGCCTGTTCCCCTACTGCCTTCCACCCCACTGCCTGCCACCCTGACACTGCTTTCCCCACTGCACCAGTTGTGGGGGAACAAATTTAAGATGACCCTCCAATAATTAGATTCTGTTCATGGAAAATTATACCAAATTTACACATCCTCCATATACATAATGTAGTCTTAAATCCAAAGTCATCTTGGATTTGGATAAATACAGTAATTAACATTTTAAGTAATTAAGACAGAAAAGTCCATTTTGTATGAGAAAAAAATAGAAATGGTAGGCAATTTTCCAATTAAAAAT